CAACCATTCTTCTTTTATTTTTTTTAATTTTGTTTAATGTTTATTCATTTGTTTTGAGAGAGACAGAGAGCAAGTGGGGGAGGAGCAGAGAGAGAGGAAGACACAGAATCCAAAGCAGGCTCCAGGCTCTGAGCTGTCAGCACAGAGCTCGATGCAGGGCTCACACCCACAAACCACAAGATCATGACATGAGGTGAAGTTGGATGCTTAACTGACTGAGCCACCCAGGCACCCCATCATTCTTCTTTTCTAATATATGCACTTACACATATGCATCTAATATATACACTTACAAATATGCATTGTTCTATGTGCATCCCATATACGATGACATATCGTATTTCATCATTCAGTTTGAAACATTTTCTAGTTTCCCTTGTGATTTCTTCTTTGATTCATAGATTTAGAAATGTGTCCAAGAGCATAAGAACACTCAGCACAGCTCTGGCACCCAACTGAGCCCACAGCCTCATGGGGGCTGAGCTGAGCGTGGGTGGAGCAGCTGCTTGTTTTTGTCTGTGCAGCTCCTGGGAGCCCTGTGGGTGGGTGAACCGTTTCCACTGTCAAGAAGTGTGTGGGGAGACACATAGGGCAGCATGTCTGATAAACTCTTGGACGCAGCGCGTGCACGCACACACACACACACACACACACACACACACACGCGTGCGCGCGCGCACACACACACAGACACACACACACCATTCTTCTTCAGCTCTAAAATATGCCCTGGGCCATGCAAGGAAGAATGGAAAACAGGCCAGCCCCTTCTTAGCTAAATGATCAAAACTTAAGTCACTTAACCTGTAAGCCTGTTTCCTAATCTATTAAAATGGGGAGAATGTGTATTTCAATGTTCTGCTGAGAGTTAAATGTATGGGATGGGAGTCCTGCTGTGGGTCATTGGATAAACTTAAAGCAGGTAAAGGGATAAGGTAGGGAGGAAAATTTGCTTCTATGCCAGATCCTGACACAAAGTTTGGCTTTGGCCAGAGTTGGGGAGGAGGACCTCTACCTAGGGCTTAGTGGACACAGTTTACTAGGGCCTACAGGGACAAAATTGGGACATGGCCAGGGGGCTGCTGGTGGAGGGGCACCCTGTGAGCTCCTTCTCCCACACTGGGCTTGGGCTTGGTGCCTGGGTAAAAGCTGTGCTCCAGGGGTTTAAGCTGCAAGGTTATCTTTCCATCCAATGTCCCCAGATGACTATTTCTGTCCAGAACTCAACCCCCTCCCAGCTCTATACCTCCACCTCCCAGGTCTTCTTTGCAGCTGGAGGCAGAAAGGATGGGAAGGGGTAACAGCAGAAAGGAAGGGGTCCAGGAAGCCTGGGAGCCACTGCAGCTCTCAACTGCTTTCTCCAGCTGAACGTGGGCTCTCACCCTGAATCTGTCAAGCCAGGTACCAGCTCACCCCATACCCAGTGCCCTAGGCAGCATTTCCATGCCTACGACCAGAATTCCTGCAGTCTCTGTTCTTAGCTGCACAGAACTCTAATGGCAGAGATGAGCAGGTTGGAGAGCTCCTGGAGCTTTAGCAGAAAGAGTTAATTCCTAGGATAAGAGTCATTTCTAGGTAGCCCAGTGGTTCCTGTTGTGAAAACACCTTTGTTCCCAGGGCTTTAGCTGAGCCATTGAATATCCTCAGGGAGTTGGGTTGCTCCCTTCTATGGGGATAGATTAGAAATAATGAAGGGGACGTCTTGGGTGCCTCCTCCCCAGCCCAACAGTGCCATGCTTCTGCAAAGGGTTGGTGGGGACTCAAATTGCACTTACCCATAGATCCTGTAATATTCAGGGGTTGTCTCATTACCCGGAATGGAACAAGCTCCTCACCACTTTGTGTGGGTTTCCTTTGAGTGTGGAGGCTGCCGTCTACCTGTTTGGACATGTTGACAGTGAGGAATCACCCTGAGGCAGAATGTAGAGTGCTGCAACACCTCCAAAACAGAATTTTTCACACTGAAAAGCAAGACCTGGCAGGCAGGAGGAAGGACTGGCTACCTCTCCAGGCATCTGGGAGTGAACACTGTGGGTTGTAGATGTCTTGAGGAGAGGACTGTGGTTGGAGTTTAAGGTGGTCTTTGCCATACCGGAGGGGCCTAAGCATCCAGACTGTAAGCCACATTCTATGAACCAGACTGGCTGGGCTTATTTGTCTTTGGCACCCCTGGGTCTTTGTGGAATTTCATCTAAACACCCCAGCCACAGCTCAGTTGTTCTGAGGACTCCAATAAAGGGCCCATTTCTAGCACTGAAGGGGAGGACTGTAGGAGGAGAGGGACAGAGAGTTAGAGCAAGGCCAGAGGGGAAGGGGTATCTCTGGGCCTGAGTCCCCTTATAGTCTGTCCACCAGCTGTCCCTGCACCTTGCTCTCCTCTCCCTTGGCGGGGCTCCAGCCTACGCTTTCACTGGCAACAGGAAAGCCCACAAAGCCTGTCTGATCCCAGAATCAGGAGGTTCAGTTCACCACAGCCTCTGACCTAGCCTTTAAGTCTAAAAGCCTTGTCATATGCCTTTCATGTAGCATGCACTCAATAAATAGTTCTTGAATGAATGGGAGAATGGCAAGTGCTGGCATTCAGCATTCCATGCAGCAAACATGACTCTCCTCTAGGAGCTCCTGATTATGGTGGGACCCCCTCCAGCTGAGGGCTCAAGACACCAGCCTGAACAAACCCCCATCCATCCTCATTCCCCTCCCAGGATAAGATGCCTCCAGGCAATTTCTGCCTTTTGGAAGTCCTGCAGGATCTGGTTTCCAGAAAAGTTGGATTGAGAGACCCAGTGGGTGCTCTGCTGCCCCCTGCTGGAAAAAGTAGGAACAGTGCCCTTGGAGGTGAGGACTACCTTACAGGAGGAAAAAGAGGAAAGGCAGGGTTCAAGTCCCCCTCCTTGTCCTTAAACGTGGACTCTGGCACATAGCAACCACATTCTCCTCTTTCTCCTCCCTGAAGACAGGTCTCCTATGTTTGGTCCCCAGCCTCACCAAGCAGGCTTTGCATCCCACCAGGTCTCCCAAATTCACCACCTACACTTGATCTTAGCCAAAAGGCCGAGAAGCGATCCAAATTCACCACCTAGAACATTTCTAGGACTTTTTGTCAACAAGCATTGTTCTGGGAACATCAGGCCAGTTCCTGACAAATAAAATCACCCACACAGTGTTTATAGTTATTAACAAATGAAATGGGCTCCCAAGGGGCATTTTACAGACTACTGATGTAGGCAACTGTGTTCATCAGGAGGAAAGATAAATGTAAGGATGGACAAAGCCAAGGAAAATAGAAAATAGGAGAAAGGCAGAAATTTAGTTGTAACAAAATTTGATAAATCAAGCCAAAGATTGGTTATTTGCAAAAACAAATAAAATTTGATAAGACAATGGAAATTTCACTTTAGATATAGGTATAGATATATACAAAGAGCTATGACAAGAAGCCCACAGAATTGTTTTGGGTCAATTCAGTGGTGGTCGGAGGGGGCCAGGTGACAGTGTTGGAAGGCATGAAGGCAGGGTGGGAAAGATATAAACCAATGTTGATCTCCTCTGGATTCCAATTGTGTGGCACAGGGTTGCTAGGCTCCTGTGGCTATGGTCTGAGCCTGTGTGCACTCACAGTAGTAGTACAATGTAGAGGTGGCTATAGATGGCTGCTGACTCACTCACTGATTGAATCAACTCTGGGATTCAGCTGGCTCCCTGACCCCAGGGGAGAGTCTACTGACTGCTTATCAGTCTGGGGTTCATCAGGCCAGAGTCAGTCTTGGAGCAAAGCCTGTACCAGTGTTAAGCTGTAGAACTAGGCAGCTTGGTAAACCATGTGCCAGTTATGGGTCCAGGAAACTTATATTGTCCCTTGCCTGGCTCCTTCCTTGATTCTTACTCAAGCTTCATGAATGAGTAAAGTTTCCTGTCCCAGAAAGCCCTCCCTAGCCAACTTCCTGCCCCTCCCTCAGCTGGGGTAGGTACCTTTCCTGGTCCCACATGCCCCTGGGGCATTCTTCTATCAACAAATTTATCCCACTGGGTTTTAAATAATTCCTTTTGTTTTTAATTAAAAAAATTTTTTTAATGTTTATTTATTTTTGAGAGAGACAGAGACAAAGACAGAATGGGAGCAGGGGAGGGGCCGAGAGAGAGGGAGATGCAGAAAGAATCCAAAGCAGGCTCCAGGCTCTGAGCTGTCAGCACAGAGGGGTTCGAATTCACATGAACTGTGAGATCATGACCTGAGCCAAAGTAAGACACTTAACTGACTGAGCCACCTAGGTGCCCCTTTTTTAATTAAAAAAAAAAAAAAAAAAAAATTAAAAAAAAATTTTTAAAAAACGTTTATTTATTTTTGAGACAGAGAGAGACAGAGCATGAGCAGGGGAAGGGTAGAGAGAGAGGAAGATACAGAATCTGAAACAGGCTCCAGGCTCTGAGCTGCCGGCACAGAGCCTGACGTGGGGCTCAAACCCACGAACTGTGAGATCATGACCTGAGCCAAAGTGGGATGTTTAACTGAACCACCCAGGTGCCCCCCCCCTTTTCCTATTCTTAATTTCCTATTCTTAATTTTTTCCTATTCTTAATTAATACACAAGGGTAACAGTAATAGGTTAGCGAAGCCCATGTACTCATCACCCAATTTCAACAAATTATCAACTTGTGAAAAATTTGGTTTCATCTATATTGTATCTTGCTATTTCCCCCTACCTTCGATTATTTCATAACATTTTATCAGTAAATACTTCATTATGTTTCTCTAAAAGATAATAGTACTTTAAAAAATGGTATTGTAACCACAATACCATTATCACAACTAAAAAAATTAACAATTATTCCTTAACATCATCCAATGTCCAATGTTTATAATTCTCTCATCATTCTACTGTGTTTTGATGGTTGTTTTTCTCAACTGTCTCCCCCATTGGACCTGACTAGAGACCTGGGATGCCCTTAGGATTGCTTCAGTCCTTGTCCATCACTGTCCATGTCTTCACCTGCACACATCCAGGTGAAGACAGTCATCGCTCTATAGATGAGCAAAGACACTGAGGGGTGACCAACCTCCCCCTGTTGCCCCCTGGAACAGGAAGAACTATTCTCAGCATGGATGCTGATCAGGCTCAGGCAAGTGCTCACAGCCCTTACCTCAACTCATCTAGGGCACCTTTCCAAAATCCACATGCAGTCCCTGTTCCCCACCACCAGCTCTTCAGCCACAATCTCCAAGGATGGGGCCAGGGGACAAGGTTTGGGGAATGTGCTTCAGGTATGTTTCATGCATTGCCCTTCTTGAGCTCCAAGTGGTCCCACCAAGATGGGGGCCTGATCTTGGTGCCTGATACCACTCTGAGAAGAGAAAGCCCTGGGGTAGACGACTGTGCCCAGCTGTAGCCTCTGGGAAATAAAGGTCAATGTCCGTTGCCAGGGAGGCCTTGACACCAGGTCAACTTTATGACAGAGTCACCAAAATAGCCAGTAGCATTGTCATGGGGAGAAACGGGGTTGGCCCTTTGCTGGATTATCCAGGGACCAGCTCTTCATTGAGGCTTTCCCTCACTTCCTAGCCTCCTCCCTCTGGGCAGTAGTATGTGACTCTCCGAGCTCCTAGGACTGTTACCTTGTGTCAACCACAAGTGAGCCCAGTGCCAGCCCGATCCCAGAATAGACATCAGTGCCCATCTGTGAAAGGAGCTGCCACAGCCCCACCATCTGCAGAGGGGTGCCTCCCCATGCAACCAAACCCAAAGAGTGATTGTTGGTGCCGAAGGCTAAGGCTGTCAGCTGATAATATATGGTTTACACCCGCTGTTGGGAGGACTTTCTCAGGCTTCATCCTGGGCAGAATAGCCTGCGTGAACCCAGATGGCAAACCCCAACAGCCTCTTCATCCTCCTACTGGCCCAGACCAGCTGTTTGTACAGTGAGGCCTTAAAGATGATTCAGCCTGTACCCCTTTCCCTGATGGGCAAGTGTACGTTAGAGGCCTCCAGAGGGGAGAGGGAAAGCAGAGGCAGGTGGGGTCCTTTGTGTTCTACCATCTTCACAAAAGGGCAGTCCTCACCCTGGCCTCATGCTGATGAGACCAGGCGTGGGCACAGGCCTGACAAAGCAGGGCGGAAAGGAACAGCCATTAGCACTAATGAGACAGGCGGCCTGAAAGCTTTTTACTTTGAAGCTGCTCGCCCACCCAGGGAACAGTCCGTTCTGCCTCCTTGGCTTCCAGGAACCCCAGGCGGAAAAGGGTTTGGGAGAAGAAGCAAGGGTGGGGGTCTTGGAGAAGCTTGGAGGGACACGGGGGTGGGGGGTGGGGAGGACCAGGAATGGAGGCAGGAGGGCCTGGTTTTGGCTAAGTGGACTTCTCCCCTCCTTTTTCCCTCCAAAAACCCCCCAGGGTTTAGGTCTGCACCCCACTCTGGCCACTGGCCCATCACCCTCTTCAATGCCCTTGACCAAAATTCCTGGAAGCAAAGGAAACAACATGCCACACAGGGTCTGAGTGAGCATCTCCGGGGCCACAAATTAAATTAAGTTCTCAGGGCTGCCTGCCTTGTTATTGCTAATGGCTCCAGCCTGTCCAACCTCCCCATCCCTACCCAGGTCCCTGTCCTGCAGAAATTTGGGGGTTCTGGGCACCCTCTCTTGTTCCCAAACTTTGATTAGCACCTGGGGACCTCACCAAAAATTAGAGCTGGGCACCCCTCTTACAGAGCACCCAAAAACCCAGGTGTAGGGAGAGAGGCCTGAGCTATGCCCCCACCTTCATGCCCTGGTTGAAGGCAGCAGTCACGTGTGGGGCCTTCATTAGACCCTGACATATAAGCTGTGGGCTCAGGGTGGCCAGAAACTCTCCAGGCAAGGATCCAGCAAGCAGAGGTAAGTCCTCCGGTTGGGCAGAGACTCCTGCTCTTTGGGAGGTCTCTCTCTGGGGTAGGGCACCTGGAGGGTGCATCAAGGATGAGGAAGGACTAAGTGGTGGGTCTTCCTGATGGTCAGGTCATGCTGACTGCAGTGCTGCTGAGCTGGGCCCTGCTGCTGACACTTCCCCCTATGCAGGAAGCTCAGAGGGGCTTGGCCCCTCTGGAAGGCATCAGAAGGCCTGACCAGGCCCTGTTCCCAGAGCTGCCAGGTCAGTATGGGCAGGGGTGGAGCTCTGGCCACAAATTATCCTGCTTGGTATGAGCCCTCCTTCCCCCTTTCCCATCCCAGACCTGGGAGGTGGGTGTTTTGTGCATGGGGGGGGGGGGGGGTGCGGGGAGGCGGGCAGGGCTCTGGCCTCACATCATCTGTTCCAGGCCTGGGCCAGCAGCCTCCACTGAAACGGACAAGCGCAGAACAGTCCATAGAAGCTCTGCTACAGGAGGCTGAGGCCTTGACAGAGGTAATTGCTCAGGGAAAGGGGTGAGGCCACAGACCTTGGGAGGGGACATCAGGCAAACAATCATCCCCACTCTCCACCTCATGACACCCTCACCTGAAGTGATACTGCAGACCATTCTCTCCATGCTCCACTACCATCCAGCCTGGACTGAGGTAGGTGAGATCCCTGCACCTGCCTTTGGAGGCCCATGCCTACATTCCTGCTCCCCAACTCCTGTAGGTACTAGATCCGGAGGGCCGCGAGCCACGCTCCCCGCGACGCTGTGTAAGGCTGCAGGAGTCCTGTCTGGGACACCAGGTATCGTGTTGCGACCCATGTGCCACATGCTACTGCCGTTTCTTCAACGCCTTCTGCTATTGCCGCAAGCTGGGTACTGCCACGATCCCCTGCAGCCGTACCTAGTGGGCCGACGCGGGGTCGAGGCTGGACAGGGGTAGCGAATAAAGGTTGGGACCAACCCCAAGGCTGTGGCGTTATTTCGAACGTGGCCGTCGGAGGAGGGAGGTCATGGAAGTCACAGCAGGGGTGGGGTTGCCGCCAAGCCAAGAAACCACACACACACACCTACCGCAGGGTCTAGGTTACCATCATCTGAATCACTTACATGCATGCTTTCATGGTGCCAGGCACAGCTGGGGAACCAGAGAAGGGCCGGGCTCCAGCCTTCCATAATCTTGTACAATAAATGCGGGTGCAGCGCGCGGTGCGCATAGGGCTGTAACTCCAGGCTGGCCAGTAAGCATTAGGCTCTAGGGTCGGCTTGCAGCTAACTGGACGTGCGACCCCAGCGAAGCCTGCCTTCTCCCCCGCCGCCAACCGTAGTTCCTTTCGGGATAAGACTGACTCAACAGTCTGTAATATTTCCAAGCATAAGAACCACCGCTCACTCCCATCTTAACTCCTCCTGCCCCTTAGTGCCAGGTCTACCAGACCGTGGAAAGCTAGAGGGCCCACTCGAATCCTCGCGGCCACGTGCGCCACCACGCGGCCGGCCTCCGACACTCCAAGCAGGTCAAGCCCCGACGCGAGAGGCAAGCCAACCCTAGCCGCGCAGGCGCCAGAGAGCCCACACTTGCGCAATGCTTTCGTATGAAACCACCCGGAAGTCGGGCGCCACTAGGGCTCCGCCCCATTGTGGTCACGTGATACGCTCGCTCATCACCTGACCTGCTTGACAGTCCGCTGCTGGCGCTGCGTCAGCTGATCTTGGAATCGTGCTGTCTGCCGGCCGATCGGGGTTCTCCGGTCTCGCCGCCCGCGCCGCAGCCATGTCGTTCTTCCCGGAGCTTTACTTCAACGTGGACAATGGCTACTTGGAGGGACTGGTGCGCGGCTTGAAGGCCGGGGTGCTCAGCCAGGCGGACTACCTCAACCTGGTGCAGTGCGAGACGCTCGAGGGTGAGCCGCGGGCCCGGACGGCTGGGCCTTGAAAGGCCGGCAAGGAGACTAGCCCAGGCCTCAGGGTTCCAAGATCTGGGCGGGGAAGCCGGAGGCGGGGGTTCTCGAAGGGCCTAAGTGGTCTCGCTGGGAATCCAAGGGCCGATGGCGGGGGCCCCAGAAGGGAATCTGCCTCGACCTGCGGCTCCGCGCGGGCCCAAACGCAACCAAGTCTTTAAAAAGGAAAAACAGTGGTTAGCCTCCGTTTGGGGCAGCCTCTTCCCCCTTATGCCTGCCGTGTAGTTTGGAAAAGAGGGTCTCTCGAGAGTGGTTGGTCGATGCGAGAGGTGTCCATCCAAACCTCTTTACTCTGACGTGGCCAGAGAACTGCCCCGTGGCAACGTTTAGGAAACCTAAGCGGAAAAGGCCTCCACTTCCCGCCTGACATACATCGAGGCATTTTGGATCACTGTGTCTTAGTCCTGGTCGGCGGGGTGAGCCTTTCTGGGGAATCGCTGAGCCAACCTAGTGAGAGTTTCCTCCCATCCCCGAACCACTGGCTGTGCAGAGTCTTCTCAAGTCAGTGATTCAGAGAGCAAGAGGTGACCCTCCAAGTTCCTATACTTGTATTGGGCTCATAAATCCCACCTCCTCAGCAAGAAGGTTGCTCTTGGAACAAAAATTTTAAAAAGCACAAGAATGATGGAAAGATGAGTTCCCCTTTCTTCCACTCTCAACTGGTTTTGATTCCCCAAGGCACAGCTGCATCTGATTCACTGATTTAGAAGTGTCCCTGCGTCCCCACTTTCCCAGGTGATAGTGAAGGGCATTGTGGCTGGGATGTAAGTTCTCATTCCTGATCCTCAAGAGATAGCCTTGAGCAGAGGTACTGCTGGCCCCATGGTTGATAGCTGGAGGGGGAAGATGATTTACCATCCCGAGACACTTTTCTCATCAAAAACTTATTGAGGTTAAAAGACAATTCAATTTTTAAAAATCAGCTATTGTTTATCTTGCAAACTAGACCAGCAAAGTGAAAATAAATATCTTTAAATTTTAAAACTTGTTGAAATTAAAATACAATAATTGTGGACTTTGTGATTTTAACATAAATATACAAGAAAAGCTGTTCCTCTCCCTTTTGAGAGTGGTGGTGGGACAGAGAGGAGAGCATTTCAGGGTGCTGGGTTGTAGGGGCTTGCCAGCCACCTGATTTTCCTCCCTGGGAAAAGGAGGAGAAATGAGGGAGGCTGCCAGGGGCAGGGCATGACATACAGTTGGCATTCAATGTGAGTTTTGTGGACTGGCTGGGACTGGAAGGAGATCATTCTTTGCTTAAATCCGAAGGTGAACACCATTGATTACCAACTGGCACTTGGCAAACTTGTTCTTTTCTAGGCTTTCCTCACTCATGCTGTTGCCTGTCCTTCCTCTTTGTGTAGAGCTTCTGGGGGCATTGGGTTCCCATCTTCCCAACAGCCCCTTCCACCATTATCCTCCATAAATGTGTTAGGGCATTCTTCCTGCAGCACTGCTCAGCACATGGCCTGCCTTGTGGCATACCATCTAGATCTTTAGGGTCTCATTCAAGGATTCCCTTGCTCTTCCATACATACTCCTCTCCCTCACACAAGCCATTCCACCCTGAGACTCTTGGTGCGTATGGTGTGATGGACCCCAGGGATGGACAAATTTGAGTTTGAATTCCAGCCCTGGTAATTACTGGATTACCTTAGACAAGTTATTTAACACCTCTGGGCCTTAGATTCTTCATCTGGTATATTATCATCAACTATTTCATAAGCTTTTACATGTGAACAAGCTTTTACATGTGAATATGAAGCCCAGCAACAAGCACAGAATATGTGCTAGGTAAATGCTAGCTTTTGTTTCCACTACATTGCACCTGCCATTCCCTCTGTGTCCTTCTCATCTCCATGAAACCCAGTGATTCCCACTCTTCAAGGCCCAGCCCCAGTAGCACCCCATGTTAGAGCCTCTTTGTGGTCATGCTAGCCTAGAATGTTGTCCTCTACACCTAGTTACATTTCCTGTGGTTGTCTGTGCTCTTACCTAGAAGTTTCTCAACATTGAATTTGGGATTCTTGAGATCCTGTGTGTTGGAGATGCTCAAAACTTTCAGGGGCTGGGGATAACCAGAAGCAGGAGTGACCAGAAACCCCATTATCCTCTGCATAAAGTTCTTCTCTTATTCTGAAGTTGATACCAGCGGACTTTGTTGCTGGGTGTTTTTGCCTTCCTATCTCCAGGGGAAAGAAGAGAGGAGAGGGGAGACTAACAAAGCTTTTGGTCCTTAGTGAGATCAGTAGGTGTGTCCTGAAGTGACGAGGTTTCCAAAGAATCTGCATCAGATGTTGGACAGTTCCCAGAAGGCACAGGGCATTGGGCAGAGGGTAAGTGCATACCCTCCACCATACCCTAGCCTTCCTCTCTGGATTCCACTCCATCAGGGCCTCTGCTACTGATCTCTTCTGCTAGAACTCAGTCTCTTAGGACCTCTGAAGCTCATATGGTCTCCATTGTCCATCTTGCTTGATAGTCTGTACTCAGAGGTAGGGGAACGAACCCGGAGAGGTCCTATCTTTTTGGTGAACTTAGGGAGCAGAGTTGGTTGGTCTCAAAAGCACTTTTTAACTCTGAGTGTTTCTAGATATGTATAGAACCTTCTGGGAGCTGAGTCTTGTGCTGGGAATTTTGGGGAAGAGGAGGTGGGTCAGAGATACACAAAGAGAAATCATACAGTATTACTTTGAATGTTTTCATTTGTTCAGCATATACTTACGAAGCACATATTTTATGCCAGGTACTGTGATAGGGGCTGAGATATTTTGTGGCATGATATTCTCCTGACCTTCATAGTCTGGGGATGGAGGTCAGTGGGGGCAGGGGGAAGATATTAAGAGATCAGTATTGCATAGAAGTTACAAATGTAGTTTTACTACTTCATGGCTCTGTGGCCATGTAACATCTCTATCCAGAGTTTTATCATGTGTAAAATGGTATTAATAACGGCACCTACTTCATGGCCTGGTTATGAAGGTTAAACAAGATAATTCATATAAAGCCCTTAGCATGAACTTGGCACATGGTAAGTGCTGAGTCAGTGTGTTAGCTGCTGTTATTATTTTATTTTTTAAAAAGTTTTATTTATTTAAGTAATCTCTACATGCTGCATGAGGCTCGAACTCATGACCCTGAGATCAAGAGTCACATGCTCTTCTGACTGAGCCAGCTAAGTACCCCTGTTAATGATATTTTAAAGTAAAGTAAATATATAATTACATATTGAAGACAATACCCATGAAAGTGACAGTGGAGAAGTGATAGAGAATCACAAGGGAACTTTATTTAGAGAGTGTGGTGGCTTAAGGCCCTGCTGAGATAAGGATATTTGAGCTGAGATGTGAACAATGAGAAGGAGCCAGCCATGCAGAGAGCTGGGGGGAAGAGCATTTCAGGCAGAGAGACCAGCATGTCAAGGCAGAAATTGTTGGGCCGGACAGAGGGACCAAAAGAAGCCCTGGGTGGCAGATGGTGGGGGACAAGGGTACAAATCTTTTGGGAACCCAGACCCTTGTTTTGAAAAAGAGGCTTAGCCCAGGGGAGGAAGCCTCTGACTCCTTAGCATCGACTGTGGGAGCAGATACTGATGGTATGGAGCACCACCTTCCACAAAGGCCTGCCAAATTTTGGGTTGTATGATGTATTTCGGACGTTAGGAGCATATATAGTGTTCCTTCAATGTTCAAATGTTTGTTTGCTCATTCAAGAAACAATTCCTGAAGGCCTACTGTGTGCCAGCCCCTGGACCATATAAACAAGCCAAGCAGCTATTTCAGGCATTATAATAGTTCTGAACCTGAACTCTTAGCTTTGACCCTGGGTTCAGCCTAAGAGCATTGGTGTTAATTTGTCTGTCTGCATGTGGGAAATTCAGGTGTGAGTGAGGCTCCAGTTCTGGCCTCTGGAGTTTCTCCCTTCCTCTTTTCTCTTTAAAACTATTTACTATGGATATTGTCAAATATCTACAAACTAGAAGGAATAGTAGAATGAACCCATAAGTAA